CTCTCTCCTGACATTAGTGGTGTTATTGCCAATTTCTTTGCTATTGCAAGTAAAGAGACATGAGTTAAGATTCATGAATGGTGACCACCGGAACACAATTTGCCAATGCTTGATATTTCTTCTGTCAAAATTGATAATTATTGTTTGTCTGTGTTCCCTAAAAAGATTATGTGGGTTTGTCAATCCTGTATTTTCCTACATGTTCCTGTGTTTTCTTTAGTATAGCTTCTCCCTAACCCCCTCCAGTCCTTGGGAGAGCCACTGAGAAAAGCAGAAAAACAAACTATATGTTATAAAACCCAAACTAGAACAACGAAATCCTTCGGACCTCTCCAGAAGAGACGAAGTCTTTTTTACTCGATTGCGCATCGAACACACGGCCCTGACCCACAAATACCTCTTACAGGGAGATGAGAAGCCGTTCTGTGTCGGATGCGACACAGCTTTTACCATAAGACACATCTTAACCGAATGTCTAGACTTTGGAGAGATCCGAAGGAAATATTATAAATGCAAGAAATTGCAAGACATTTTTTCCGTCGTTGGTCCCAGCAAAATTTTGAAATTTATGAAGGCCATTGGCCTTCATGGCAAATTGTAAAGTGAAATCGTACTATTTAACATTTTTATTGTTACTTATAAGAGTTGTTTTAAATCGCAAATATATTTACACTTAATTTTAATATTTTAGCGTTTTAAAGTCTAATTGTTAACCAATCGTGCAGTGAACTTTTGCGAAAGTAAACAACTTGTGTTTCGCGCACTCATATGACCTTACGCAGTTGCGAGCGCCGTAAAACCCTATACTACTACTACTACTACTACTACTACTACTACTACTACTACTACTACTACTACTCCCTAACCCATTCAACCAAATGTAAGCCTTGTGAAGATCTTCAAACTACAGCAAAGAAAAGGAATCGGGAATAGTAATGTTACAAAACAAGGCTGGTCTTGAAAATACAATTTTGCAAAGATCAGAGAAGAAAGGGGAACAGAACAAAACAAAAAAATTGAAGAACAAACAATGTTACTGAGTAGACTGGAAAGCCTTCAGTACTATAGTCTGATTCAAATTAAGGTATTCAGGTGGCACTTCAAAGACTCTACTTAGGGTACAAGAAGTTTTTCCAATTCGGAAGGGAGCCAGTAATAATGGAGTCTAATTGCAATATTTGCCAGGTCGAGTTTTGGAGAAAAAGAGCCATTTTCCTAAGTCCGTTTTGATCACCTGCACTTGTCCCAGTGATAGTTCCACTCTCAAAACTCACAAAATCAGGCAATCTACCGAGAAAGCAAACCTGTCTAAATCTCTGTAGTCTAGGAGGAAAACAATCTTCCGTTAAGTTTCTGTGGCCAATTAGAAAGCATGCTATTTTGTTTGTTCCTCGTATTGCAATTGCAGCCAAGCCCGTTGGCTTCTTCAGCTTTTCGTTTCTCTCACTCAAGACGGCACAAGTAGATTCAAGTTTCGATTTTATAGCACACAAAAATGCCAATAAATACCCTTCCACGTTTATGATGCCATTATCACACTCAACCACTGTGCTGTTTGTAGCGTTGGGTAGTATGTTGAGTGGGTCCTGAGTTAAAACACCTTCACCTTTTCAAAAGCAGGGCTGATTTAAACACTTCCAAAACCTGCTAAGTTTCCGCTTCCCTCGAGCCTTCAAACCTAAAACATCCCAAAGCGGTTCTTTCTTTTGTTTTTGTTTTTTGTTTTGCAAAGAGAAACGTGGATTCGTCTTTTGACACAGTACATCACTAGAGAACAGAGACGTACCCTGATTTTCTCTCGCAAACTTCACTTAGTTTGAATTTTTCATTGGTGGGTTTATCCTTCAGATTTATAAACCTTGAATCGGGAACGGTCTTTGAAATACGCCATGGTTTCGTCAATACAAAGTCCTGTTATGCTTTTCACAACTTTAAAAAAAACGTTCTCTTGTAGATTCGGGATAAATTAAATGCTTTATCTTTTATGTCATGAAAAAGCTCCCCGTAGTCCACTTGTGCTATGCTGTTTGACATATGAAACAAGAAGAGAGAACTGTCAAGAAACCTTTGCTTTGCGTGTACATCATTATTCAGCAGACAGATGAGTGCAAGCATGGGCTTCCAGGTCAGTGGTTGCCGAGTGTCAGTATCTTGAGTATACCCATGTGAAAGAAAATAGATAACAAAAAAGCATTCCATTTCTACAAGATTATCTGGTTTCTTGGTTTTGCAACGTAAACGACTTGTCAAGGTTTGAAGATCTTTGCAATTGATCCCTTTCCCACCTTGTCGTTTTGTTTCAGTTTTATAAAAGTTTATAAACGCCTCAGTAATGATCAGCCAGTAAATATCTGACGCAAACGGTTGTTTGGGTTTTGAGATTTTGATTCCACCGAATACAAGTACCAGTAAACTGAGAAGCGCGGGGAAAGTTGTTTGTGTTTCGAGCCCACATTATTTTATCTTCTAATCCCTCCATTTATTCTTATTCATTGTTTTTGTCTTTCTATACTCTCCTTTAACGCTCTACAGCATATCCGTCGCCATCGTAATTTCAACAACCGGTCCTATCGTCCATCATCTCGTCATCAGTGTCTATGCATTCTAATCTCACGCTTTCTTGATTCACTACTGGTTGCTTCTTAGGCAAAAATGTAACGGTTATGCTTTGTAGTCAACCGGCATAGTATCCTCATCCTTTCAAAATTATCTTCACCATCGGTCCATTCTATGTAGATAGAATCTGTGACTCCTTTGAGAGTGAGTCTTCTCAGCGTCGGTCTAAGCGCCATAACTTTCAGCGTATCGTATGAAAAACGCCTCGGGAACGCTTTGGAAAGTGACCTCAGAAATTCGCCGGTAAATCGAAAAGTGTTCAAGCAACTCAACTTCTGACAGCAAGAAACAATTCCAAAATGGTATCTGAATACTTTTTGAAAGTTTGAAAGTGAAAAACGAAAAGGGAAACTTTTTGTAGCATGCACAAGTACGTGAATCCAGGGTGGAGCGTCCCGTCGTAAAAGGTTGTGAAATAGCGCGCGCCAAAGAGGAGCGGTACGTTCCGAGGTAATATAAAAACAGCGTGCCAATGTGGTGCGGCGTGATGCGAAAAGGTTTAATAAAAAAGACATTTTGTCAGTGTTAAACTTTCCATTCCGCACCACTCACTGAGCTGTAGCCAGCAGCGCTTTGTCGTTACATTGTTACACCAGGAAGAACGTAGTTCGATTTCCGTTTGGGGTGAATTTTTATTGAGTACCTCGGTCTTTCTGCTGGAATGTAGTATGTATTCCTTTCTGCCAAGGGCGAAGCCTGCTTCCTTAAATGATCTAGATTGCGTTTATGGGTGCGTTAAAAAAAATATTTTTTAAACACACTTGTACTTGTATACAGAATCTGTGTCTACTTTTGTTCACAAAGCTGTAGTCACGACATTAATTTGTTTATCTCACAAAGTTGTAGAATTTGTGTGGGTGTTTGGCGCGTGCTCTGGTGTGGTTTGCTCCTTCTTTCCTATCAAACAACTACATGTAGGCATATCATCTTATCTCTCCTCCTTCTTTTTTTGTGTTTGTTACTCTCTTGTAACACCCCTAATCTTCGGCACTTATATGACTTTATTGTGTTGCCAGTGCCGTAAAACTCTTACTAAAACTGAAGTAGAATGTGTCTTACTTATGGCGGGGGTGGTTAGCAGCACGCCACTGGCAGGTCCTTTTCCCCCTTGCTTTTATCATCATCATCATCGCCTTTCTCACCCTGCGCCAGGGTATAGGCCACTGACAAACACTTTCCACCTTTCTCTATTCTGGGCCTCTTGATGTTATTCCATGTCTTCCCACTTTTCTGTACATCAGTTACTGTGATTCTCCTCCAGGTTCCACGCAATCTTCCCTTTGATCTCTTCTTACCCTGTGGATTCCAATCCAAAACGTTCTTTGTTATGCAGCTGCCTGACTTCCTGAGAGTATGTCCAATCCATCGCCACCGCCTTCTCCCTACCTCATCTCTGACTGGGATCTGGCTTGTTTTCCTTTACACTTCCTCGTTGGTGACCCCGTCTGTCCATCTGATCCTCAGTAACTTTCTTTGATACTTGTTCAAGAAAACTTGGATCCTCTTTATGCAAGTCTATGGTGCGTTCCATGTCTCTTATCCATACAACAGGACTGACTTCACATTTGAATTGAAAATTCTCAGCTTAGTTCGAAGTGAGATAGATCTATCTTTCGTCTTCCAAATCCTATCCTAAGATATGAAAGCAGCCTGTGCTTTTCCAACGCGGGACTATATTTCAGCACCTGTTCCTCCCTCTCTGTCAACTGTCAACTATACTCCCAAGATAGCAGAAGGATTCAACGTCTTCAAGTGCGTTTCCTTCTATTGTGACCTGCTCATTTCGTTGTGCATCTGTCCTTAGGACCTTTGACTTTCCGGGGTGGATCCTCAATCCAACAGACTCTTATAGGCTGTTTAATACTGAGGTCTTTGCTTGCATCTGTTCTCTGTTCCTGTATGTGCAACAAAAGCGCCAAGTCCAGATCTTCCAACTGTGTCCATGGGGTCTGCTGTATACCATTTCTGTGTCCTCTAGTGGTTTCCCTTGATTTGCCTTGTGTTATTTCTGTCTGTCTTGCTCATTCCTTGCGCTAAAAAACTACCGTTTTTTGTCGAGGTGCTTCTCTGTACTCAAACTCAAACTTACTTTTGGCCTGTTTTTAACCTCAACGACTTCCATAGCATTTTTCTCGTTACATGTATTATATTTGTCTTTCTTTCTCCCTTTTTTTTTCTGTCCTCTCCTTTCCTTTTTCTCATAAAACCTGTCTGTCTGTCTGTCCTCCCACTCCCCATCCTCCTCCTCCTCTCTCTCACTCTCTGTTTTTCACACACACACACACACACACACACACACACACACACACACACACACACACAATACGCACCTATACTCCCTCTCCACAAAAAAAGGACACTAATTGAAGATCAAGTTTGTATTCTCCTTTTGTTTGTTTTTTCCCGATCCAGATGTATAAGTATTTTCAAATTTAGAGCCAGATTTTTTTGCATTTGACTGGATCTCACTGAGGCAACTGGCAAACAAAAGAAGCATGACAAGATCTTACTGAAACAATTGGCAAACAAAAGTCTATATAGAGCTAGACGTCACTGAAGAAATTGGCAAAGAAAAGTCGGACCAGATCTCATTGAGGCTGTTGGCAAACAAAAGTCTCATTAAATCTCACTGGGGCAATTGGCAAACAAAAGCCTGACTAGACCTAATTGAAACAATAATTGGTATACAAAAGTATGACTTGATCTCATTATTGAAGCAACTGGCAAAGAAATTTCGCTCTAGATCTCTTTGAAGCAATTGACAAACTAAAGTCTTGACTAGATCTCATTGAGGCAATTGGCCAACGGAAATCTGACTAGATCTCATTGAAGCAATTGGCAAACAAAAGTCTGCAGTCCACTCTAGGAACTCTGTAGATATTATCTCCTTTTCTCAGCATGGACCAAGAACTGAGCCCCAGCGCTCGGCCCATGCGGTGCCGAAACTTCCTGTCTGGCTTGTCCGACGTCGCGAGTCTCACATTTTCCTGGAATACTCGGAGTGTGGAAAGTGCGGGCGAGTTCTCAGCTAGGTTCACTAAAGCAGATGAAGGTAAACAGAGGCAGGACAGGAACGCTGTCAGACGCAGACACTTTGTGGCCATGTACTTGAAACTGTTGTCTATTTGTTCCAAGTCGGTGAAATGCATGAGAAACTCCCAGTAGTGACTGCAAAAAGCGAGTGTTTGAAGTGTGTGACCGTACAGGTCTGCTATCTTTTTCAGGAAAACAGCGGAGATGCTGCTAGAAAGATTATCAAACACCAGTGATTGTACAAATGGATTGTGTGCCATGTCCTCGTGGCTGAGTGTCCGATTGCGGAAAATGTAGTGCACTTCTAGAGAGGCGCGCTGAGATACTGAGAGGCCACGACAGATTGATTCCCAGTCCAGGGAAAGTTTTTCTCTGTAGTCTGTATGAGACGTATGGTCATCACTGACCAGATAGAGAGCCTGTAACTTTCCCCCGCTCAGGCTCTTCACCACAGAAGTGTTCACACACTGGATGGGACACTTGAGAACACAGAGGTTTGTGCACTGTCTGAGCTCGTGCACAACCTTCACTTTGCCCTCAAAGACAAGGCCATGGGAAAAGTCCAGGGAAACAAGAGTGTGCACAAGGCAGTGCTCTCCTAGATACGACATATAGTTCAGAATACCAGACTCCACGGTGTCTATCGAGGTGTAGAACAGACGGGATAATGACAGTGTGAACGAGCCGTGTTTCCTTAAGGCTGCGGTTTTAATCTGTCTCAAATAGCGGTCGTTGGCGTCACAGAGTTGTGACACACTGACGTCAGAAGGATGTATGACGTGTATAGCCCTGAGCTGCGTGCAGTGTTGACCAACCGCGGTCAACAGGCTAAAGTCATCCTCTTTCTTGTCGTCTGATGAAGACAATTTGTGTAGCCATATCGTGCAGGACCGGAAATACCTCCCGTACGTACGGATGACTTGTAGCTCGCTGGCCACCATCATTGGGAAGTAGATGTACATACAGAGCTTCTCCACAGCGTATGCTCTGTCGTTCTCAAAGTGAGGCCAGGCCAAGGGAGATCTCATCACTCTCTCTACGTCAGGGAAAACATCCAGCAGCCATTCCTTTTCCTTCCAGTGGAGGTAAGACAAGATCTGACCCAGGACCACGTCTGGGAGATGTTCGAGGGACATCCTGGTCGTGGTGCTGATGTTGCTGTTGCTGCTGCTGGTGGTGATGCTACTGCTACTGTTGTTGATGGTGGCGGCAATGGTGGTGGTGGTTGTGATGATTGTGTTTGTAGCCGAGATGCCTTGGGGGAATCAGGGAACCGTATGTTGGCGGAGTTTCCCCTTCAACTCGTCCCTCGTGTGCAGATATGATTCTCCCATCTAGATTGACTGTTGTGAAGGACATTGTTAGTTGTTAGAACAGGGAAAATGTGGATAACTAGATCTAGCTTAGTTGTTCGAGTAGGGAACTTGTGGACATCTTTGGTAGTTAGAGCGAGGAAATTGTAGACATTGTTTGTTGCTGGGGCGGGAAACTGTGACCATCTTTAGTTGTTAGGAAGGGGAAATTGTATCTCAGAGCCCGGAAGCCTCCCCTTCTATGCCACCAATGTCTCTTTATTCTTCATATCGAGCGTCGAGGCCAGTAGAAATTTTTACACTTATATCTAGATCTAGATATAGATCTACATCCTGTGCAGATATCGAGGGAGTGATTGAAGAGCTGATCAGCCAAGTGGCGAGTCTTCAGCTTCTCTCTTCTTACCTTGATTTCCCCCCCAAGAAAACGCGTATCAAAACACACATAAAGTGTAAAGTGTTGGACAATCCAAACGGACCCAACGAAAGTCTGATTTAGTTCACTGCCTCGTGATATGAAACATTTTTCATCTTCCACATCCAAACGCTTCCGTTTTCTAGGAGTGTGCTCCTTTCTGTGCGTCTGGTAAGTTCAGAGAGCCTGCATCTCATAAATAATACATCGACATTGACGATTTAGTTGTTTGGGGCTCTAAGTAGAGCCTGTTCAACTGTCTGGTAATGAATGACTATGCATTGTAAACACATGACAAGTCTATGGACAATAATAGATTTTATATAAAAAAAACACCCAAGCTGTCTTAATCACACCAACTGAACAGTATGCTAATTACGACAGTCTGCTTTAAAAAGTCAAAACAAAAGGGAAGTGGCGAATTGTACATTACTTTTTTGCCACAGTTGTGCCATAGTAGTAGAGGGTTTGTAGTTCGAATCTATCTCTGCAGTATCGTTGTCTTTGTCACCGAAAGTAAAGAGAGCAGTATTGATCACGCGTATACTGAGCTGGTACTTGAGTCCGTGGAAACCTTCGTCTTCCCAGTGTAATAGTAGTATGACCCACACAGCATAGCTGTCCGTCTCATTGGGAGCCGGACTTGGTCTTTGTCTTTTATACATGTGGCTACAGCTTTGCTGAATTAAAACCTTACCGAAGACAAAACTAACTCATTCAGAACAAGATTAGTACAGAAGCTTGGGGTGTGAGGTG